GGCATGCGACTGGTACGGCTGCTGGACACCTCCATCGCACAGACCCCCCGCCAGGATCGCTCTCCCTTCCCTTACCCTCGCCACGGTCCTGCGAGGCTGGGGCAGTCACGAAGCCGGGGCGGCGTCCACAGCCCGGTCTTCACAGCTGGGGCCAGGAGCCCCCGTCTGCAAAGGGACCGGCCAGGCCAGGCCTGGCGAGCCTTGGCTGGTGCCGCCCGTTGCTTGGACCCAGGATGCAGGCCGCTCACCCGAACAATGCAGGGTGGCGTGCTAGTTCCGCCGTAAAGCGGTGGAAACGCGCGGTGGGGTGCGGGCAGGCAGGGGGGTGGGGGAAGCAGCTCGCTTCAGGGAGGGGACGGGGGGGTGTGCAGCCATGGAAGAATGTGAGAAGCTTCCAAAGGCATTAAGCTGGCTGTGCCAAGCGGAGGAAATCTAAATGAGCAAGAGGCAGAGGCGCTCAAGATCCTTTTTTCCTTTAAGAATGAAACTCCTCGATGTATTTTAGATGTGCAGCTGAGGAACAGTCCCTCTCTCTCTGTTTTTTCTTCACTTTTTAACCACTGCTTGTAAAAAAAAATGCCCTGAAGAATCAGGAGTGATTCCTGCCGTGAATGCCCTGCTGGGAGGAGCACTTGGAGCTCAAAAACATTTTTCTGATAACTTCCGAGGCAAAAGGGAAGCCAAGATAATGCGGAATGTTTTACATTTTCCTCTTGCTCGCCCTGCCGATCCCGAATCTGCTCCGCCCTTTGTCCTTGGGCTTCTCCTGGCATGAAATGCTTCCATGCTGCCGAAACTTGCCAGTTTCCTCATTGAGTAAAGAGGCTCCGGGGCATTTGAGGATGTGGCGGCAATGAGCCAAAGGGGAGGCGCAGCCAGGTTTGTGCAACACCCAGGGCTTCCCTTGTGTGCGGTCCCCTGTTTGGAGCAACAGGGCGTAGGGGACGGCCCGGCCCGGCCCGGCCCGGCCCGGCCCTTCCAGGGGGCTGGGACCTGGGCAAGTGTTTGCATCCCAAAGAGCAGGCTGTTTCAGGGAGGTGCGGCTTTGACTCCTCTAAAATAAAAAGGGGGAAATGGGCATTGCTGCTGCCCTTCCGCATTCCTCTGATTTCTCCGAGCCGAGCCGAGCCGGTTGACTCAGAGCGCAAACATTTCAGGTTGCCCTCTGGTCCATCTGAGCAAATCCCGGCCTTTCTTTTGGTGTGTGAACGGCAGCATGCATCCCGGCCTTCTGAATTCAGATTCTCTGGCCTCAGGTTGTCCGGGACCTCCAGGAAGAGATTCCTCACGTTTGTTTCCTGCTCTGGCTCTCACACCAAATTGTTTTCTGCATCGTAAATGCTAGAAGTGTTTTAATGGATTAGAAGAGTTGGATGCCCAGCTGCATCCTTTTTCCAGCCCTGACTAGCTGCTGCCTGCCTCCATTCATGGTTTTCCCTGCTCGGATCCATCAAGTTGTGTGAAGGCTCCTGCCACCTTTTCTCCTCTACACGAGAGCTCTGAGTCTCAGTTCCCGGACTCCCAGACATGTCCCAGGCAGCGCTACCAGGTTCCCGAGGCCCCTGGATATGGTAGGCCAGAAGGAACAGCTTTGGCGCCAGTTCAGCGCCATCTGCTCAACCCAGCCGTCATCGGGCGGTGAAGGATGCTGAGGCAAAGTGCTCTTAAGAGGTTTAATGTGGGTTGACTCAGCCGCTGTCATGCTTTGGGCAAGCTGCGGCCAAAGGGTGTGCTCCCTTTTCGCAGCTCTGCGAGGAAAAAGAGGAACATCATGTTTTGTTCCGTAAGTAGCTCTGGGGAGGCAGAGTGTGAGCCATGCGCAGGAGCTGCTTGCAGGACGAGGTTCTGGGGGCACACCTGCTCAGGAATTTTGGAAATGTGCCAGCGGAAGCGGCTGCTGCACTGGAGCGACCTGGGGCTGCTGCTTTCTTCGAGGGAACTGGTTGGCAGGGGTTTCTCAGCCGCCAGGACACCCAGATGGGGTGGCTCATCCTTGCTGGAGCGCCGGGAACCCCTCTGCCTGGGCGCAGCTGGCGCAAGCTTCCTCCGCAGCGAGCTGGGCCCAGGAGCCCCCATGCGCCCGGCCCCCTCCTCTTTGGTGCTGCTGCTGCCGGGCCTCCTCTCGTGCAGTTCTGCGCCTTGTGGCCTCGCTCCCCACCCCCAGAGGCACGGCCGCTTCGCATTACCTTCCTTGCGTGTGGGACAGCAGCGCTTCCTCGGCCGGCTGCTGTGCAGACGGGTCCCCCACCACTCCCGGCTCAGCGTGTGGCAGCGCGCCGGCACGACCCGCGCGGCATGTGAACCAGATCCGCAGTGCTCTCACAGACCCTCCATCTGGTCCAGCGAACGAAGAGCATTGCCCGGACGCGGGCTTCTGTCCCCGAGCCCGCCGTGCGAGCCCCCTTGTTGCGGAGTCACTGCACTGGGTCAGCAGCTGCTTCCACCTGGCCCCAGCCCGCTCAGCTGCTCCACCGCCCGCAGGTCGTCCGTGGCGAGTCCCTCTGAGGTCGGGGTGCAGGCTCCCTTTGCCGTTCGCAGCAAGGCGGTTGCAGGCCGGCTGCCCGAGCGGTGACTGCAGGGAGGTGTCCCGGGCAGGCCCCCTCTCCCGAGGCTGCCAGAGTCTGCTCCCCGCCTTTGTGGGCATCTTCTTTGTGGGATGCATCTGGGCCCAAAGCCCGAAGCGCGGGGTAGGAATGGCAGCACGGTGGAAAGGTGGGTGGTCGCTTCCCTGCCCCATAACCGTATGGTTGGTCCGCCCAGATCCATCCGGAGGCCGAATGAGCCACCTTAGTGCAGAATAAATGCCTTGCCGGAGTTCTGCGCTGGAAGTTTGGTGGAAGCCCGTGGGCGGTGCGTGTCCTCGCAGTCAGCAGCAGCAGACGGAGGCATGCCCTTCTCTTGCGCATTCCCAGGAGCAGAGGGTTTTCTGTGCACCCACGCGGCGGGTGAAGGGGGAGCGGGGAGCCCTTGAGAGCCTCATAACTGGGCCTGCTGCAGCATGGATGGTGACCCCATTTCTGTCCTGCTGACCCAGGGGAAATTTGCCTGGCAGTGCTCTGGCACCCTGCAAGCTTTTATTCTAGGCTCCAAGAATATTTGTGCTTTTAAGAAGCTCAGATAGGGGGAAAATATATGCCAGCGGAGCCATGCTGGGAATTATATTCATGCTTTTTGTCTACTGTTGTGCAGCGCTGTGCCACACCTGTAACACACACACACGCACACACACACGGCAGTCCTAGCATTTACGGCCGTGTGAGGGTTAATCTGTGCTGGTATTCCTCTTGGCTCCATGCTGAATGGTTGTTTCTGTGACTTTACTGTTGCATCACCCAACTCTCAGGTAAATTATTTTATGGGCCTTTGGTAAATAAAGTAGCTCTCTGTGCCAGAGATTTGGGAATGGCACGCACTGCAGGCCGGAGGAGCTGTGTGAATTTCTTTGCGTGCTGAAACGGCTCCCCGCTCTTTCTCCAGGATGCAGGTAGCATGTGAAAGAGCCCTTTTGTGGTTCCAGGTATCTGAGTCTCCTCCGGAAGTTCGCGCCAGACGTATCTGTGCTGTACCAGGCCCCAAAGACCATGCCTTGCACGGAGTGGGCTGGGACTTTTGGTAACTCAGGATTCCTGACTGAGCTCATGCGTTCTGTGTTTTTCTCCTGTGAGTGCAAAACTTGGGCTGAGCCTCTGCGGAGGGGATGCTGCGATCCGTGCTTGCTTCACAGTGGGCACTCGTCCCGAGGATGAGGTCGCCGAAAGTATTTTCGAAGCTTTCCCGTCACGCCTGGAGATGCTGTTGGCATATTTATGGGCCTGCACTTGGCGCGGCCTGGGCTGCCTCACAGCGGCCGGGCTCCGAGGCACCCTTGTCCTGAGCGCCGTTCTGAGCCATTCCCGCGATCAGGCGAGCCCCGTCCCACCCGCCTGCAGCGGGCACCTCAGGCAGGAGCCTTTCTGGCTAGCGCAGCGCTCTGCCGGGCACAGCCAGCCGCTCCTTGCACTGGGCGGGGGCTTCTGTGGCCCCGGCCCCCCCAGCTCCCGGGTTCCGCTGATGAAGCGAGCCATCCGAGACTGCCGCCGTGAGCTAGCCGGCTTTCTTGCTGGCAAAGCCCCACACGGTGATGGCTGAAGCAGTGGTGCTGGGTTGGAACAAGCGGGGAAGGCGCGGCCCCCGTGTACGGAAGAACCCCAAAACCAGACCAGGCCTCGCCGTTTCTTCTCCTGCGTTTTGCTTTTCCCTCCAAGACAGCTTGCCGGTCCCGTGGTTGCTTCATAAAGGAATGTGGCCGAGGGCAAGGTTGGCGGAGGAAAAGCGGGGGCCAAGAGCAGAGGGTACGTCCCTCGTGTTGGGGTCACAGAGCCACGTTCCTGTTCTAAACGTGGTCTGGAAAAGTGGCTGCAGGGGAAGGGTCGAGCACCTCTTTCGTCCTCATGATTCTGCCCTGCTGAAGCGAAGGCCGGGCTCCTTGTGGCAACGGCTTTTATTGGTGGAGAAATGGATCGCGCTTTCATCCTGTGACTGCAGTGTTAGAAACCAGCTCATGAAAGCCCCAGGCTTTGGACTGGGGTAGACTTGATCGTGGGCACCATTTCTGTGTAACTAATCTCCCAGCACTTGAAAGAAGGAAACATGCTGATCCAAAACAGCCTTCCCCAAGCCTGGCTAGAGAATGATGGGTGTTGTCATCCAACCAATCCGGAGGGTGCCATATGGGGGAGGGTTGCTCCAGGAGGTGCATGCATTGAGTCACAGAGCGCTATGTTTGATCTTTCCGACCTCTCTCAGCTACCCAAGCATGAAACTGGGATTATAGTTGCTGAGTCAAGTATTTTATGTGCTGGTTTGGCGTTGTAAGCGTGCATGAATAATAGCTTTAAAACATGCTCAGGGACATGGGAGAAGTCGCCACAGTGGGCCCCTGAAGCAGCCTGAGGTTTTGCATCACCTGCTGCAACGCGGGCAGCTAACATGGTTTCTTATGTGGATTTTTTCCCCTCCAGGAATGTTATCGGCAGTGTGCCAAGCCTTGGAGAACACGACGTCTGTCTTCAGTGGTGAGTTGATCCAGTTGTGACATGTGACATCCCGAGATGCTGCCGGCCACGTGTTCTGGCCTTGCGTGTGGCCAAGTATAAATAATGCCGCCTCTGTGTGACCCAGTTGGACCTTGACACCTCAATGTCGAGGCCCAGGGGTCTGAAGGAGGTCTTGCCACTCACCCACCCAGGACCGCCAGGAAAGGCCCTCTTCTGGGCTGCCACAAAGCACAAGGACAAGAGCTTGCTTAGTGGCGCTTCCGACCCAGGGCGGATGCGTCAGAGGGACCCTTTCTGGGCCTCTGTTGACGGAAACGCTAGAGGAATAGCTCCTGTTAGTTGGGTGATGTTTTCGTAGGTGGTTATGCGGAACGGAAGTGTATTTGTGTGTGTTTAAGGTTTGGAAGTGGCTGTAAAGCAGGGTCTGTTCAAGGGTGGGGACCAGGAGGCAAAATATCCCAAGGAGCAGAGACCCTGCCTTGGGGGGTCACTGGAAAGCATTCACCTTCCTCGAGGGCTTCCCGTCAGTTGCATCCTGAAGCCGATGCCAAATTCTTGGGAAGGTCTGCTCTCTTCCTTAAAATTAATTCTAAAAGATTCAGCACTCGCCTTTGGGGAACTCTGTCCCTGCAGCACTTGCGGCCTGAGAAATACCTGCTGCCAAGGGATTGGGCATCTGTGTGTTGGAGCTGAGGTGCCGGACATGGCGCGCCCTCCGTCGAGTCCAGCCGATCGTCCTGCTGGAGGATGTGCCACCGATAGGGCGCCCTGGGGGGCTTTTGTCTGTGGGCCTCCACGAGTTGGGAGCAACTGAGGGGCACGTGACAGCAGTGTCTGGAGCAAGGGGCTTTTCCCCGTGAACTGAGCCCCTTCTTGTCCGAAGTGTTTGGTGCTGGGCATTGCTGCCAGATCACCGTGCGGGCAGAATCGTGCTTTCGTGTCGGTCCGTAAAGCAGAAGCCAGTGCAAAGCCTTCCTGGACAGCCGTGTTTAGGCCACCGGTGGGGTGGAAACATTCCCTTGCCTCGTCTCCTGCCGTGCTGAGGGTGTTGTCCCACTCTTTCTAGTTGGACCAGTGTCCTACAGACTCGGCGGGGTTTCCGGAGAAGCACGCGTGCAAACTCAACGCCTGCGGCTCATTCCAGGAAACATCTCCACATTTACCTGCTGACCATCAAAACTGGTTCTCACCTGCTGGGCAGCTCAGCCCGGTGTCCCAGAAGTCATCGGCGAGCCAGACAAAACGGGTGCCTTGGGACTCCCCTTTCATCGTTGCTTGGAATAACTCAGATCCCAAGGAATAGCTCGCCACGGGTGCAGGCGAGGGCTTAACCAGAGCAAAACCAGGGAGGCTCTGTGCTTTTGCTGGATACCATGTGGGATGAGTAAGGGGCCTTTCCATGGCCGATCCCAAAAACATTGTGCTCCTCTTCCAGGAAGGCGATACGTCCTCTGTGCGTTGGTAAGAAACGTCTTTAATATCTGGGATTCACCAATAGATCAGCCCCTCAAATAAAGAGCTTCCTTCGGTCCGTTGAAACGGCAGCCCTCATTGAATGGAGTCGCTCCCGGAACTGGAGCCCACCCCACGCTGCTTTGGGAGGCTCCGGTCTGCCTTTGCGGTGCGCGGTGCATTCCGCATGTCACTGGGGAAGGCAAGTGCTGGCGAGATCAAAAAGCAGTTCTGACTTTCCAGAAGGCAGGAACTCTGCGAGGATGGATCCGCCTGTTCCTCATTAGGAGGCGGGCGGGATGTTCTGCAGCTGCTGTGGAGCCCAGCAGAGCAGGGGGAGGCTGCCTGTCGGTCACCCCCACAGTTTGCACTCGCAGGCACCCCTCCCCGCAGAGGGGAGGGCTGCAGCACCCCGCGCAGGGCGCAGAGCTTTGGTGGCAGCACGCGCTTCACCCCTCCCAGCCTGGCACCTTCCCGTCGGGATGGGCCCCGTAGTCTGGAGGGCCTGGGCTGGGCCGGCTCGAGGCCCACGCTCAGCTGGCGGGCTTCACTGCAGGAAAGTCCAGAGCGCCGGAAGGCCAGCAGTGGGGGGCACTTGCCCCCTTGGGGGCGAACCTGTGCTGGCTCCTCTGCCTTGCACGGCCTTGAAGTCCTCTCAGCAGGCTGTTGCCAGCAGGCCTGCTCCCTCCCGGCCTGCACCTGCGTCTTCCTCCTCCAGAGCAGACCCTCGGGGACCGGGCCTCCCGGGGACGCAAGCCGAGGCACCCTGCTTGCGGTGCCCCACATCTTCCGTGGGGCTGTGGCCTGAAGAGGAGCCCGCGCCCCCCTCCTGCCCTGCGCCTCAGGGACCCTCAGCCTTGCGGTGGAGAGGCCTGGGGGACACGCCTCGCGCTCCGTGTCAGCCGTCCTGGGCAGGTGCTCGGCAGGCCGGCCGGCCGGCCGGATGTGGTCCCGTGGGTCTTCCCTTGAGAAGAAGGGTCAGGCCACACGCCTCCCCGGCACCGTCTGCGGCTGCCTAGGTGGGACGGAGAACGGGGCGAGTCGGGGCTACGCTGGGAGAACCTTTTCTTCCTTGGGAGCCACGAATGCCCCTAAGTAAGCGAGAGCGCCCCCGAGCTCCCGGCTTCCCGTGCATGGGAATTCTGGCTCTTGCCAAATTTCGGGGCAGTGTGCAAGGTGTGTGGGGCTGCCCTGGCTGCTGGATGCCGGAAGTACGCCCAGTGCGATGCCGTTCCTGCCTGGCTGGCTGCGAACGGGGTGGGCAGCTTGTGGGCAGCTGCGTTTTGCGCGGCATCGCTTGGCCGGGAGGCCTTCTGGGCAAGGCTGGAGATTCCCAAGTGGATTCCCAGCATTCTCCGTGCTTCTTTCCGCCGTTTCCATTCCCACCGTTTCATAGCCGTTAAGTAACCGTGATTGAGAGCTCATTTAGATGATGGCCTCGTGTTACACACTGCCTAATGCTGTGTGACCCCTCCCCTCCCCCCAAGGCCCCGCCTGTGAAGGGGACACACCGGAAGCTTATTTTCTACTGGATTTTGAGCCCCCCTTCATTTTATGGCTAATTTCTGGGGATTTGTGGCTGGGGGTCCGGTAACGTGTCGGCAGGGCTTCCCAGAACTCCTCGTGTCCTTCAGGCGGCCTGTCTCCAAGCAGGGCCCCAGGAGGCCTGTGCAGCCCGCGAGCTCCTCCGGAAGAGCGAAGGGGACGGTGCCCTAAAAGGTTGAGCTTGGCTCCGCCGGCTCCAGACTCGCTCCTCTTTCCGTTGCAGGTGGTTTCCTTACTCATTCAGTCTTGCAACATGGTTCCAGTGAGTTGCATCAACTCTGTACAGTTGCTTCCGCCCTCCGTTATTTTCGTACAGCCCCATGGCTTTTCAGGGCTTTTCTAATGCGACGGCTGAATAGAAGAGGTCACCCTTAAGGGGGATGAGGCCGCAAACCTGTCAGCACTTTCTTTGCTGGCAGGACCTGGAACTGCGGCAGCCCGGCGAGCGTGGGGCAGTTGTGTGCGTTTCATCTTGCGGGACCCCCGGAATGAGCTGTAAAAGGCCGGATGCCGGGAGGTGCCATGTGTGCGTCTCCTTCTCCAGGCCTCGCCTCAGTTCAAAGGGAAATGGCGCTCGGGGTTTGTAAGGGGCCGATTCATTCCTCGCTGATTATTTACCCGGCGCCCTGTTGAAAGGCATTTTGTGTCTCTTGGAAGGTCTGTTTGTAAATATCACTCCTGGCAGCCGGATAAAACCTCCTTTTTCTGCTGATGGTCGGTTGGACTTCAAAATGGCAAGCACAATGTTCTTGAGGCTCGCCATCTCTGCCGGGGAGCTGGGGGGGGGGTTCCTCTTTTCGGAAGACCCGGTGCCTTTCCCTTCTGTTTGGGACAGACATGAGCAAAGCTAAAGAGGCGTGACTCAATTTAGAATTCTGCTAAGAGACCCCACACGACACCAGGAGGTGGGGATGTGCTTCTTCCCCAGTAGAAAAGGGCAATTCCAAGACCTTTTAGACCCTAACCCGTTCCTGGGGAAGCTGCTGGGGCATGAAAAAGGGGGGGGGGACTGAGCCGGAGGCCTGATTTGTGCCCCCTAGCCAGTGGCAGGTCATACAAGCCACGAGGCCCCGGGCGCAGCTGCTCCGCTTCCACACACGGCCGGCTGCGAGGATTATGCGGAGCAGCCTGGCGGGCCAGGTCCACACCAGAATCCAGTCTGAACGGTGAGCGTGAGTGAGGCGTCTCGCTCAGCAGACGGTGCGCAGGCTGCAGAGCGGGCCTTTGCTTGGCGCGGGATTTGCAAACTGCCAGGCAGCTGGTTCTGTCCGTTTCCACAGAGAGTGCCCACAGTGGTTCCGTGACTAGGCAGCCCTTCACGGCCTGTTTCCTTCCCGCTTCTTGGTCTCTATGATTCATTGCCAGCCATGATGAGGACTAGTCTCTTGTGTGGTTTTAAACCTGCAGGTTTGATTAAGATCTCATTCTCTTGGGCAGGGCTTTTCAGGTTTTGGCATGTTTTCTACTTTATTTTTCTGTTTAAATGTGCATAGGATCGTACACTTACGCTCTCATAATACTACTCTGTTAGAGTAAAGTAATATATGGATTCCATTGGGGGCATCACCTTTTTCTCATTTATTTTACACCTTACTCCTGAAACAGAATGACTCGTATTCCATATGCTCAGACATCTTCTAATAATGGCCAATATTTTGCTACATCAGCAAAGCCTGGCCTGCTTCCCATCTGCTTTGCTGCTGGTCCGTTGTGCTGGTATTTCCTGCAACTGCATCTTCTGTAAGACACCCCACAGCAGCTTTGCCTGCACCCCATTGCTCTCTCCGCTCCTACTGGGCAAGGCATCTCATCGCATTCCCCTCACTTCTGCCCCCCCATCCAGCATTTCAGGTGTGCGGTTTCTCATTCCAGGCAGCTTCAAGGCAAGTGGGCACTTGGGCTTGGCGATCTGCCGCCCGAAAGGTGGAAATGCAGCGATCCCAGGCCGCCAGGGGTGGGGGGTTGGTTTAGGATAGAGATGGGAGAACCAAAAGAGGACTTGCCCCTTGTCCTTCCCTGTGGACCTCGGGCTGCAGGCCAGTTGCATTCACAACTGTCTCCTCCTCCCGGTGCGGCGTGAGGGTTGCGCCCCCTGCAGTGGGTGAGTGAGCTGTGGAAAGTGACTCCCTTTCCTGGCCAGAAGCTTGCCTGGTTGCACATCTCCACAGATGGTCTCCCATTTTGGAGGCCTGCTCAGGAGGGGCCTCCAGTCTTCCTGAGCAGGGACTTCCTTTCTTTCGGTGGGTTTCATGGGCAGATGTTCCAGCCTTCCTTTTGCAAAGCGAACCCTGTCATTAAAACAGGCCGAAAATTCTGTTTGCCTCTACTTCCTTCCTTGGCCTGGAGCTTATTTTTTCTTTCCAAAATAACCCCAATTATGTCTTCCCCTCCTGTTTAGGTTGATTAAATCCACGTCCAATAAACAGCACACTTAAAAACTCCAGGGAAGCTAATGCAGTGCTTTGCTCTCACATGGCTTTTTCCAACAATCCTGCACGGGCAGTGAGGTGCTGACAGAGCACTCCCCTCCAGGGAAATTCCCAGTGATTTTCACAGCAGAGGGGGATTCAAGCAGGGGTCTCTTCCGTTCTGATGCAGTGTGCGGCTAGGGAAGGCTGCCAAGGGGTTAATAGAGTGTGGATCCCCTCTTTGGGGGCGATTTGAGCCTCTGTCCAGGCAGTGGCGCAAAAAGCTCCCGTGAGAGCCTCCAAAGGACCAGAAACTTAGCCAAGAGATGAAGTGCAAGGGTAAGTGAGGTTGGAGCGAAACAGCCCGCGGTTTTCTGTGCCGAGGGGCATGTGCATCGTAGAACCAAAGCTCGTTTCCTCTGCTCCACCAGCCACTCTCCCTTTCTCGCGCTCTCGCCCAGAGACTTTCACTTTCTCGTGCCCGCAAGCAGCCAGTGCATCCCTCGTGCCCGCCTCACTGTCTCCCTCCAAACGCAGCAAGACCCTCGCTCGGCCGTCTCCAGGCTCTCCCCCAACGCCCAGCCCCACAGAGTCCTTCCCTGCCCCTTGAACGCCTCCATTCAGACAACTCTGCCAGAGCCAGGCTCCCTCCAGCTGGTCTTCTCCAGCCTGGCAGTTCTCTGTTGCCCCGTTGCCAAGCTTGCAGACCGACGGACCCTTGTCGGTGCCTCCCCTCTTTTTTGGGGGGCTGGCCATGCTGCTCTGAGGTCATCTTCCATCTTGTTTCTGTACGAACATGTGGCCCGGGGTGTCCATGGAAAGTGGAGACGGCCGTGTCTGGAAGCCGGGGGTCAGAAGTGCGTGCAGGGTGTCTGGAGCAGAGGCTGGTACCTCCCCTCTCCCCATTTCCCCTGCAAAAACGGGTCGCATGCTGCTGTTTTCAAAAAACCTCATAAATGCAACTGCTTTGAAGCAGGTGGGATTCCTTACGGACATGAGCTTTCCATTGTCCAGGTAGGATGTTTGAGATTGCCTGGAAACGGCATTTCCCAGGCGCTCCGAAGTGCAAATAGGAACTACGGAGTGTTGGTCCTGCTTTTGCATCTGTTTAGGCATTGGAGCAGAGCCGGCCTCTGCTTGGGAGTATGTTTGGCTTTAATTGCACGACCATTTTCAAAGACATTTAATTTCTTCCAGGGTTCCCCTGAATGATCTCAGAGGTGTGGCTTTCATTAGCTCTGCTGCCGTTAACTCGTTGAAACAGGAACTTGCGGGGCTTTGAAAGGGAGCTCAGGCGGGTGCTAACCCAGGGCGCTTGCAACTGGAAGCAGCCACGGAAGTGCCGCTGGCCCTTGAGAAGGTGGGCGGGGAGGGGTGGCCCCCAGCCCCGCTCATGGGGAAGCGGCTTGAATGGGAGAGCGCAGTCCGGCCCAGTGGCTCCTTCGGTGGACTCCGTGGTGGCGGGATGGACGCGGCCTCGGTTTGGGCAAGCTACCTTCCTTGATACCACGCTGCGGGGTGCTTTCTCTGGCCCGTGGGTGTTGCCACGGTGTTCTCGTTCCTCTTCTGGGTGAAACGCCGGGACACCAGGATGCCCTCTACCTGCTGAAGAGCTCCGTGGAGGCGGCCACTTTGGGGCACGTGTGCCGCCTCACCACCGGCAGCGCGGATTCCGCCGTACCTGGAGGAGGGGCAGATGCCGCACAAATGCCAAGAACTTCACCCTGCCGGACACCGAGGGAGAAGCTTCTCCATGGCCTTGGGATGCGAGCACACGCCCCCCTTGCCCCGTTCACTTCTGCCGTGGCTCGGGGGGAGCGGGGATCCCGCTGAATTCAGTGGGACTTGGGCTGAGAGAACCCGCCTGTGCTCGTGCTGCAGGCAGCACACAGCAAGGGCCTCTCCGAGGGCTTGCCATGCCCGGGTGCATGCCTTCATTTTGCAGGTGAACTCGCGTGTTCTTCCGGCACAGCGAGCTTTGGAAAAGCCGAAGCTCGGGACTGGAACTTCTGGAACGGGCCGCTATCCGCTGCCTTTGGGTATGACTGCAGCAGCCCTCTGTCTCGCTGTGCCCGTTCCAGCCCCCTGGGCAGCTCGAGAAAGCGTCAGACTTGACCCGGTGTTTGCCGTGGGAGCAGGACGGGACCCGCCGCAGCCGCCAGCGTGAGACTGGCCAGGCAGCAGTGCCCCTGCACGCTGGGCATCGCTTGTGTCGCTCCGCACCGCCCACTGGGCCGGGGCTGCCCTGCCCTGCCCTGCCCTGCCCTGCAGGCGTCTCTCTCCCGCCCTGGAGATTTTCTCTAGGTGTCTGCAGATGCATTTAAGCTATGCTAAGAACAGCCAGCATAGAATCCTTCCGGGCCAGGAAGCCTTCTTTTCCCAGAAGCACCCCGAACGTGGCTTTGAGCCTCTGCCTGCGTCGGCCGCCCAGCTGCAGCTTTTCCGAGAACAGGGCAGGCATGCCAGAGAGTTTTGCAAGGAGGTTTAGCGGCCGCTCACTCTCCGGGCTTCATTCTTCCCGTGCGAGGCCGTGCGCAGGGTAGCGCTGGGGGTTGTGGAACGTCTCCTGGGGCGCTCCAGACTTCCTCCCGCAGCTTGCAGCTCCCCTGCCAATTTCTGTGGCGACTGGGGGTGCTGAGCATCGCAGCCCAACATGGGCAGAGGGTGGCAGGTTGGGGAAAGAGGCATTAAGTGTGTTGCGTCCCCCCCCCCCATGATTTCCCCTGCGTTTAGGAACTGAGGAATATGGCTGCAGCGCTTCATAATGTAGAAAGTCTTTAATCATCGTCACGATCCCAGGGCCACAGCTTCTGAAGCTTTGGGTGGTGTCACCGTTGGCGGCTCGCAGCCTGTGAATGCTGTTGGCACAGCACCTTTTTCCTCGCGCCACTTGCCCTACACAGGGACGTGTGACACCCCTTTGCACGGCTGCTGCTCGCATTGCCACGCTCGCTGTGCCACATTACAGGAGGTGGAAGCGTGAGCACTGCTCTGATTTGGTCCCCGGAAGCTTGGTGTGGGCGAGAGACAACTGCTTGGCGAAGCAAAGATGTATTCCGAGAGCGGCAGGTGCCTTTTCTTCTGTCCAGAAAGCTTGTGGTGCATTGCTAAAAATCTCCTGTTTGAGCCTTCTTGCTTTAGCGTCATCATGCCTTAACTTTGGGGAATTCCCATTCAACAAGAAGGTCAAGCTCTTTTGCAGAGCCTCATTTTCTGATTGCGGAATAAGCTTGTTTTGTTTCTCTTCTGGTACAGCCTGCAGCATGTTTTAAATGTTAAGCTGTCTTGGAGAAGATTACAAGGGCAGAATTGCTCCTGATACTGGCTCAGCTCTGTGTCCCTCGTGAATTCAGAGAGTGGCTGGTGACACCTCCCAGGATAGCGTGGAGGTGAATTTAAGAGAAAAATCTTAGGTGCTTTACAAGTGCTACGAACGACCAAAGTGAGCTGGTTCAAGGGGCATCGAATGGAACATAATCGGAGTGCCGTGGGCCCCCAGACCTGTTGACTAACCCATTCTTTCTGAATCCCCCACCCCATTCTTTTTCAGCTCCCCCAGTGGCTGCGGCTGTAAGGTCTCATTTTGACAAATGTCCAGATGGCCATGCTAAGTTTTGCTTCCATGGCACCTGCAGATACTTGGTACAGGAAGAAAAACCCACCTGCGTGTAAGTCATCTGTACCTTTCCCTTTGAAATTTCCCATGGTGGCTGTTCTGTAGGAGCACTGCAAGAGAAAGTAGCCTTCGTTCAGTTCCTCCCCCCATCGAGCGAGGGTAGCCATCCTGCGAGCACACTGGGCCGATTGGAGATGCCCTCCTGAGCACCACCACAAAATGGCTGCTGTTGGAAGGCTAGCCAAAGACAAGTAGCCAGTTCTCAAGGTTGCGTACCAGTTAGAGGTGAGGCCTACGTCCCAGCACGTGGAATATTTCCTTTGGACCCAGTTTTCAGCTGCAACAGAAACCCCTCTCCGAACAAACTCAAAACATCTGGTTTCCGCCCTGTTTGAGTAGGAGGGGATTTGGCATCATGGGGGGAGAAGGAAAGAGGTCTGGGGGGGATCTGCCGCCTGAGGCACCGCAAAGCTGCCCACTACCCCAGGGGGTCCTTGCCACGGACACGGAGAGGCTCCTCTCGGGTGTGGGTCAGCCGTCCGCTTTCTTCACATGCGACGTGTCGCGTCCTGCAGTAATGAGGAGAGCCAGTCCTCGGCTAGCTTCGGCCACCCGCCTTGGGTTCGGCAGGACAGAATCGCGTGTCGCCCGGCAGCGGCGTGCATGGCAGGTGGCCGTGCCCTTTCCGAGCTTGCCCTTCCCACAGACTCGCTCCTGCACACATGTGCAGACTTGCCCCTGGGAAGCGGCCTGTGGAAGAGGACTGCAGTGTGGTCAGAACACGGCCACACGTCGGGGCAGGGGCAGATGCTCCGAGGTCGTTAAAAAACCGTATTTCAGGAATCGAAGGTCCTCTCTAATAGATGCCAGGAAAGGCAGCCAAATCTTCATGAACCTGCCCCTGGTTCTCGTTTTCTGTGTTTAATATGTGGATTCTTCTGCTGCACCTTGCCCACCCATCCCTTTGCCCATTTCCAGAGCATGTGGCCTTTTCAAAGGGGGTTTATGCTGCATCGGCTCCTGGAGCCCTCAAACAGTGTGGAGTTGGGAACGTGCAGGGGGTGGGGGAGGCCCGACCAGCCGGACTGGGACTCCAGCTGAGCTCTGTCTGGGCAGCTGTCCTGGACCCCCGCCGTCAGCCTGCTCCTTTCTGGCCCGAGGCACCTTCCACATGTGGGATTAGATAAAAACCCATTTTAATTCTGGACAAGAACCGGCTCAGATCAGCTCTTTGAGGAATCTCTCTGTGCTTCTTGTGCTTAACACCTTGCTCCCGGTTCTCTTTCCTCTCGCCACAGTTGCTATTCGGGGTTTGTCGGGTCGCGCTGTGAGCACGTGGACCTCCTCGCCGTGGTCGCGGCCAACCACAAGAAGCAGACGCTAACCTTGGTGGTGGTGGTCTCCGTGATCGCGTCTGTGGCACTTATCGTGGTCTGCGTCCTCATATTGTAAGTATGGCTCCACGCCACCGAGCCCGCTGGAGTCACGGTTCTGCTGGCGTGGCCTCCACCAAGCGGGCAAACTCTCGCTCCTGGCCGGAGCGCAGAAATTGGTGCCCAGAAACTGCCGCTCCGTTCAGCATCATCCTGGCCTCCTCCGTTACGGTGCCCTCCAGATGGGGTGGACTGTGTAGCCCCTAACCCCATGCTGGGTGGGGGTGCTGGGAACTGTAGTCCAAGGCTACTGTTAGGATTAGGCTCTTGCCGGCCAGTGTTTGTTCAGGCAGAGCACAGAACGCATTTCTTTTCTGCACTGGAGGAAGGCGGGAGAATCAGAGGATCCCTTTTTCCTCGACAGCCAGCGGCTCTTTGCTTGGCTCCCTGGCCGAAGGGGCGGCCGATGGGACGCGGCTGTTCCCTAGCCAGTGCCCGTTTTGGAGAGCCTCCGGCATCTCAGCAGCGAGAGACAGCCCGCAGCCCTAGCAAGGATCCTGCTGACGAGCACAGCCGGTCTGTCCCCAGGATAGCGGTTTGGGAGCGAGGGAGACGCCTCGGAGGGCTAGCCCCGGGGTGCCTTTACAGCGCTTGCAGGTGCAGCCGCTTTGCCGACGACGCGGCAGCACCGGCCGCTTCCTCCGGCTTCTTCGCTGCCGCAGTCCTCTCGTGCGCAACGATGGTAGCGGCCCGTGGAAAGGCCGGCAAGCGCACTGGGGCCTCAGCGGCCTCCTCGCCCGAGCGAGGGCATGTGTGAGCCCTGCCGCCCGCCGGGCTTGGCCCGGGCTGGCCCCACTGCGTGGCGTCCCGTGTCACGGGGCGCCTGCGTCCTCGGGATGAGGACGGTGGCCGACATGTTGCAGCTGGGCCGCGTCTCTGCAGCTGACGGAGGCCTTCGCCGTGGAGCGGCTGCCGGGGCACTGCGGCTGGTTTCCCAACCCCAGCGGTTTGCCTGCCGCGGTCGCTTGCCTCGTGCTTCCGTGGCAAGCCCCGCTGCTCTTGCGGCCCCGCTTGCGGCACACGCTTCACCGGCGAGGGGACGGGGAGGAGCAACCCGGCCGGGAGGGTCGCACCGAGGCGCCCCTCGGCCAGGCCCTGCCGGGCATGCGCCAGGGATCGTCTGCTCAGTGCTTCAGGTACCACAGCTGGTCACAGGGTTTCACTTACGTTTTAAAGATTTGGATTGCAGGCACTTAAGGGAGGTAGCAGAGGGCATGAGCGGCAGGGGAGGGGGTGCCGGGCGGTTTTGGGCGTCCTGTTTGTTCTCTTGCTTATCATTTGCCCATCCCTCATGTAGGGACAATCCAGGAAAATTCTTTTTTTCTTTCTTTCTCTGCGGTGGCGCCCAATCTATGGATTGCGCTCCCCAGAGAGGTCCGCCTGGCGCCGTCGTTATTTGTTTTTCGGCGCCAGGTGAAGACCTTTTTATTCAAATGTTATTTTAATTGTTAATATTATTCATTTTATTCTTTGGCCAGGGCGACTTAATTTATATTGTTAATTTATATTGTTTTATTGAATTCTATTTATTTATGGTTTGTGAGCTGCCCCGAGGCTTCGGCGAATGGGGCGGCATAGAAGTCCCCTAAATAAATAAATAAATGAATGAATGAATGAATGAATGAATGAATGAATGAAAGAAAGAAAGAAAGAAAGAAAGAAAGAAAGAAAGAAAGAAAGAAAAGAAAAGAAAAGAAAAGAAAAGAAAAGAAAAGAAAAAAGAAAATTCAACTGGAATCGGCAACGCTGCTGATGGCACTGTGCTCAGTTCTGCTTTTGCGTGTTTTAAAAATTTTGTTTAACAGCAAAACGCCTGATTTTCTGGATTCAGCTATGGATTCTCTAGAATTTTAGCTAGCAGCCAGTGTCTCGATCTTTATCACGAGGAGTGCAGCGTCCGTTTCCTTAAATCGGATTTCAGCCACTTGGACCGTGGTCCACTCAGAACATTTTGGGCGCACCGGAGTCTTTCCTTAGCATGTGCTTTGGAGAATGTGGGACCTGGCACAGCACCTGGCCTCCCACCTGGGCAGGGGATCTGCAGCTGACCCAGCGCTCGCACACGGCCCACGCAAGCCCAGCCACAGGGCAGTCCCAAGGGCGAAGCGCTTTTCCATGGGCCCTGCCCCCCCCCCCCCGCACCCCATGCCTCTCCAAGCCCCATTCCCGGCGCTTGACCTTCTCACGCCGTCTTTTGCAGCTGCTGTGGCACAAGGCAACATTGTGAGTGGTGCAGAACCATCCCTTGCAGACAGGAAAAGCCCAACGGGCTCCTGAAGGGGGGGACCTCCTGCTGCAGCTCGGAAACAGGTCTGTAAACTGCTGGAGAAGCAGCTCCGCGGGGAAGGGGGGGGGCGCGAGCCGGGCCTGTCCTCCTGCGGCCGGAGTGCCCCTGTGGGCAGCCTCCGGATCTCGCCCGTCACACTGCCCCTGCCTGTGCAGATGAGCAGACGCAAGAGGGCAGGGCAAGGGGCCTCTCGAGCTTGCCAAAATTCATGGTCCTGACTCAGGTCCGAAGCGCGGGCGTGGCCGTCCGTCCGTCCGGCTTCGTCTGACCCATGAGCAGGGAGGTCCCCTTGCAGCTTTTAGGGATGGGAGGCGGGGCCAGAGAAGACCTTTCGACTGGGCGCATTCCTAAAACAGTCGGGAGACGGCTTTCTCGAGTGGACTCCGTGCACCCAGAGGGTTTCTCTTCTGTGGATCGGCAAACCCAGTGGGGAGTGGGAGCTCTTCCGGGTCACGGATCCTTGCAGCTTCAGGGTGCCCCGCACCGCACGCAGCCACTTCTCTTGTGACGAGTTGTTTGGGATGGGACTGTGTGCTGTACGCCGGTCACTGCGAGGCCCTTCCCTTCCATAGCTGCTTAACGCCATTTTGACACGTGTTCTTTGCAGTTGTCTGACCGAGGCCAAATCCGCCGAGATACGTAAGCTGCACGCCCAGGGGCCCCCTGCAGCAGAGGCCTGGAACATCCGAGGAAGACGTAGCACAGACTGAGACGCGGCACGTGGCCATTTTGACAAGCGGAGGCACGCCACGCCGTTCTGGGTATTCGGTGATATCCTCCGTTTATACATTGAGCTTCTGGAACCTCGCCAAAGGGAAGGCAATGGCTACTTGGCTTAATCTATCTACGGAAATCAGGAGAACCGAGAAATTGCAAAGGCCTCATGCAGTAAAATAAAAATTTGAAAAGTGCATATGGGACAGCTTCGTGTTTACGTAACTACAAGAAACGGACGTAGAAGGGGTGGTGTGCACAAGGAAAGGAATAATTGTGCCGTTCAGGCGGAACTTGTCTTGTTTCCCCCAAATCTTCCTTGTTGCTTGAGGCTTCATAATGTCTCCTAAAGGGCAGACCTTCGGTTCGTGCATTAGTTGCAGTCCCGGCTCCAAAGGAAGGACGCGTGGTGCCCATCATTCAGGGAGAAGAAAGCCCTCCGTTGGTCTGCAAGATCTTCTGTTTGCTTCCCAAGACATGAAGATGAAGTTGCCCAAGGACCCCCACGGAACTACCAAAATTTAACATTTCGGTGTCTTCAGTACTCCGAAGTACTTCAGTACTTCTCTTAGAAAAAGAGAATTCAGCAGGACTAGAACAGTGAGGACAGCAAAATAACTTAGCACCGTTTCTCTTCATGAGTCCCCACTTGTGCATGCAAATTAAAAATTTCCTTAGACATCCTTTTTTTCTCCCTCTTCAGTTTTGGGTGACTGGGTGAAAAAGTAACTCCATTGTTTCATTTTCCCAAAGGATTATTATTAAGAGGGATTTTGGTGCAGGTACCACTGTGTTTGCTTTCTTTTGGGCACCTGGCTTGAAAACCCCCTGAAGTAAACAGGTCTCCTTCTTAAATTAGTCTGAGATGGGATTCTCCAGTGTCGTCCTTCCGTGACTCAAGTGCTTTTAGGGTTTTCCAAACAGGCTGCGAGGACTTAATGTACCTAGTTGTGCCGTGATCATCCCTTCTCATATGATAAGTTAGGACACTGGCGTGCTTTTATCAGGCACTTGTGTGTCTGGAAGCTAAGACCCAGAATGGTGGCACAAGTGCACAGATCTTTCTCTGGCGAAGGTTTTGCAATCCTGAGGCAGGTTTCCAAAGACGGGAGTTACCTGTGGAAGGACTGTTGTGTTCCTGTACTTGTGGTGTGAGACGAGGATGGAAGCCTGGGCGTTTTGGATCCGCTGAGCCCTGGAATGGGAAGGGCAGAATGCAACGCAACGTCTTGGGTGCCGGTGGGCTGCCGCGTGTGCAACCGCTGGTGTGCGGAGAGGAGGACACTGGCGTTTTCGGCTGAACTTGATGTTGGCCATTGTTGGTGTTGTCTAAGCCACGATCTCCTGCGCTACGTGGACGAACACACTCGGCTCTTAATGTAAAAGTAGCTAATAGTGCGATTGTCGAGAAATCCTAAATTCTTTGTTCAAAAGCCACTCTGCTCTTTCTCAATTGGCGCATGGTTGTACCTCAAGTCTAAACCTCTGTTATGAAAGGTTGGCTTCTCCTGCCCTTCCTTTGGGGATGGAAGAAAGAAAATGCCGTCTGTTTCCCCTTAAAATCCATAGAATTCCACGTTTGGCCCCTTTATGAGCTGCATTTCCCTGCTATATCTTGCTCAGCACATTGGCTGAAGCTCAGCTTAAGTCATGAATCCTGCATGACGTGGGGTTTTTTAAAGGCCAGATTTGGCTTGAATTGGGCCGTCCTCCTCGGGAGTCCTCGCGCCACTTTTGACGTGCAGTCCCTTCTGTTTCTTCGCCTCTGACTTTCTTCAGGAGGAAAACTGTTCTCCCGGGGAAAAAAGCAAACCGGATTTTTGATCTTGCTCCCTGCCCTCGTTTTCTGCCCTAGCAGTGATTTTTAAACTGGGTCCTCCAGCTTGGCCATGGCAGCCCCCCCCCCCCGCCCCCATTTCCGCCCTGTTCTCTTAAGGAGCTGCCCGTGCCATTAAGCAGCCACAGCCCTCCGCCAGGTGCTCCAAACTGCACAGGCCTGAGGAATGTGCTGCCCTGAGCGGCTTGTGGTCCATGCCGGGTAGTATTAAAGCATCGGGATGCTGAACTGGCCGTTGCAGGATGGGACCCCGTTGTTGCCTTTTATGTGGAGAGGGGAGGGAGGGACAGGCAGGCTGCGGCATCGCCAGAGTGTTGGCTTGCAAGTTATAAAGAGGGCCAGATTCGCTTTTCTTGGAATTCTGCCCCCGAAGGCTCTGGGGACACTGGGCACGGCCGTCCAAGCATTTGCTGCCTGGTCTCATATCACCTGCGTCCCCCCAGCAGTTTGGGTTCTTCGCTTGCAACCGACTCGAGCAATAGAGGATTTAAAAAAACCAACACGCGGGTCTGTGTGAAACGGCCAGTGACACGCTTCTGATGTGACTCTCGTGGGCTGTGCCAATGTTCCACACTAGACACCTCTTTGATTGGTATAAAATAAACTTCACTCCTCGATGCCCCTCCCAGCTCTTGAGGACTTCGCCTTGCATTGCTAACAGTCTTTCCCTGTTTTTTCATAGTTCAGTTTACTGTTCATAACCAACCTGAAGTTCAGTTTTAGTCAAAGCTACACTTGTTTCTTCTGTATATGTTGCACTGAAGGTTAATATTTAATGTTTTAATTTATTGTGTGGTTAAATTAATTTGATTTATAAAAATGTTTATGTGATTGACTGTTATTACTTCCTTAATGAGTGAAATACACTTTTTCATAATACTCTGCTGTACTTGGGGTTTTTTTAACAGGGTAAAGGGATTTAAATTAAATGCAGATCTTTCTACACCACGTTTTAGCAGAAAGTACCTCTGCTTCTGACTGGGCATTACGTGGCATGGTGTGCTTGCTCAAGGCAGCCTTTCTCTTTGCAAAAATGCGTGCCTTCGCAAAACAGTAACCGAGGGAATGCAGGGCTTTCCGGGGCAGGCGAATGACTGTGTAAGCCTCCTGGTCTGCTTGATGTAGCCCATCGCATGCTGATGGCTCCAGGCAGGTAACACACGCAATGCTGTCCTCTGCCGTTTCCTTCCCACCCAATCCAAAGGCATCGTGGGCTCACATCAGTCGTCACTTTTCGTTTTCTACCCGTCGCCTTTTTAAACTCAGACTGGATAACTGTGGTATGGACTCAGTTCAAAACTACTGAAACTTCTGAAACTCAAACACCTTAAAACAGCACAGTTAAGAAAGATGCAGTGGGAGAAACGGAAGCTAAATCCCAGAAGCTTGGAATAAAGAAAGATTTGGCGTGTGTTCTAAATTACCGAGGTTTTCCAGGTGGAGATTTTTTAAGGGGAGCCGAATTAGCAGAGCTGGCAATTCCTGTGTCAGCCCAAAAGGGCACTCACACAGGTAACCCATCCACAGTCTCCAAATCCAGGAACGTTCATGAGTCTGTACCCGTGTTTTAACAGAACTTTTTTTCTAGCTATTTTTTGCCACTTATGGACCGTCCTTTCCAACCTGTTAAGTTTTTAAAGTGATACAGAACATTGCAAAGCAGCTGTATGTATTTGCATACATATTGTAAGACGTGTGTTTTTCTATGTGCTGGTGCCGGAGGTCAGACTAGAAGGCTGGGGAGGCCCCTTCTGACTCGCTCTGTTTTCTATGTTTCTATGCAGTTTACCTGTGACAGAGTTTGCAAGCAGTTTTTCCTAATGCTATATATTCTTGAACATCATTTTACTAAAAATTTGAATTTTGTGTGAACTTTTGATCAGAGAATCCCACTGAAATATTCAGAGAAGTTTAAATGTCAAAGAGATAAAATTGTATTAGTTTGAAAGTGCAAAATAAATACAAATAGAATGAATTTCTCCACATCCCCCTTCACACCGGTGCCAAAGATGGAGGGCGGGAGTCTCAAATCTGCTCCCCTCCAGATGACTCAGACTGTGCTTTCCAGGACCTTGGCACCTGGATATCTTGGCTGGGCTGATGGGAGTTGAAGTCCAAAATACCTGGATAGCAGCAGCTTGGGTGAGGCGGTTCTAATGCCCGCCTTGGACTTGCTCTACCCAGCGGGACCATAGACCAAAGTTTATGGAGGTGCTTTGTGCTGGGAATTGGGAGCAGCTACCTGGATGCATCTGCCTGAGTTGGGAGGACGCAGTTGGGATGACCTTTGCCCGCCCGCCCGCTCTGTCCTGATGTATACCCAGTCGCTTCCTATATAATACCTTTCTGCAACTTTGTGAGCTGCACTGATACGGGTGCAATCTAACGAGAGAAGGTGGAGATAGATAGGAGAATCGGGTTGTTTTCCCAAGGAGCTGCAGAAAGAGAGAAGGGAAACAGACCTGTTCCAGCTGGTGCAATAGCAGGACTGCCTTTCTGTGCTGACACGAAGGAGCCAAAGCCAGCAATTACAGTGAACTCCAGTCTGTCCCCAGAAGACCCTTGCCCTGACTCACGGACCGCACACAGCCGGCGCTGCCCCCTCCAACTGGTGGGATTCCCGGGAGTGCCCTCGGAGGCGCGTCCTCGCCTTGCTTTCCATTCTGCACTTGCAGGATGCCTCCCCAGTGGGCAGGAGAGTCTGGACAGGGCCGCGGCTGGGCGTACGAGGCGAGCTCGTGGCCGTGGCGAGGTGACTGACGACCTTTTCTGCCTCCGGGCCTCAAACCTTCGGTGCAAAAGGTTGTGCGGTGTTCTTTGGTGCTGGATCAGGAGTGACGCTCGTGCCGAGCCTCCTGCAGAATTAGCACTCGGCTGGTTCAAACAATGTGGTGGTCCATTCAAATTCGGTGAAAACAGAATCACAGTGGGGAAATTTTAAAATCGCGAATAAAAGCAGCTGCCAGCCCTGCTACAGACACCTGGGAAAGCACCACTGGCCCGCCAGGGAAAGGACGGCAGAGGCAGCGGAGGGGAACGTAATGAGTGGGAGCCGTGTGGGTTTTCCTCCTCACGGCAGGCCACCCTTGCAGGAGTCCGAAGGCGAGAGCAGAGCTGCAGCAAGGATGGAAACCGTTCTGACTTGCATGCAAGGAGGACGATGGGCTCCATGACCCTGTTTGCACAAGCAGTTAGAAACGTGGGTCATCTAGTCTCCTGGGCCATCTAGTCTGACCCCCGACTCCAGCCAGCCACCATGTGGACGTCCAGCCTGTCTTTGAACACCCTCACCAATGGGGCCTCAGCCACCTCTCGTGGAAGCCCGTTCCACACCCTCGGGGTCCCAACCGTCAGGAAGGGCTTCCTGGCATCCAAATGGAACCTGGGTTCCCTGAGCTTGGCTCCGTCGGAGCGTGTCCTGCCTTCCTCCGCAGGGGAGGACAGGTCTCTGCCCCCCTCCGTGTGACACCCCCTCACATACCTGTATGTCGCCAACAGATCCCCTTGGAGTCTTCCCCAGGCTGAAGAGACCCAGTTCCCTCAGTCTCGCCTCATACGGCATCCCCTGCGAACCGGCCACCAACCCTGTGGCCCTACGCTGCACTGACTCCAACCTGGCTGTATCCTTCCTGTAACGAGGGGCCCAAAACTGAACACAATACTCCAGTTGCGGGCGCACCAGACTCATATAGAGTGGTAGTAACACCTCTCCCGATCTAGAAGCCACACTTCTGGCTATGCAGCCAAGGGTGGCGTTTACCCTCTTGACCACCGCATCACACGGCTGGCTCATGTTCAGCCTGCAGTCGACCAGCACCCCGAGGTCCCTTTCACAAGGGCTGCTCTCCAGCCACTTGTCCCCTAACCTGTACTTGTGACACCCATTCCTATGCCCCAAGGGCAAGACCTTGCACTTATCCGCACTGAACGCCATCCTGTTGTCTCCTGCCCACTTCCATCGTCTGTCCAGGTCCTTTTGGATCTGGAGTACCTGCTCCTCAGTTGTGGCCACGGCCCCGGTTTTAGTGAATGCAGTGCTCACTCTCCCAAGCAGAGTCCACAACTGTGGCTGCTGGAGGATCCATATCAGCAAGCCAGTCCCAGCAGGTTTCCTCTCTCCCTGGAGCAGGACTTTTGCAGTTCTTAGTTGCCCATGCAAGACCAAGTTAAGCAATTTGCATGCCGAGAGGGGAAAATGGAGTGTTGTAGAGATGCAGTTTAAAGAAGGGGGTCAGTTTAAGCGTTGAGGTTGTCTCCTGTTGTTACAGGACGACACTTGTGGCTAACTTGGCTCTCCACATCTTGGCCTGCAATGCCTTCAGCTTTAGCCAGCAGAGCCAAGGGGTGTCCAGAGCTGTGTGTATCTGGGGGGCCACCGGTTGCCCACGCCTGGGCTGAGGACAATTCACAAGCAAGCCCTTCCTTCGTGCTGATTAAAATTCACTCCACTCCAGTTACCTGCAAAAACTTCAGTAGATCAGCCTACCTGCTAAACCAGTCCAGCCCGCAATTCTGTTCACAGTTACTGTAGGGTGATTTGCGCTGGAAAACGGCTGGGTTTTTTGTGTAACTCTTGCACTGCAACTCCTTTCCGTTCTTCTGTAAATGAGGTTGTGAAGGGAAAGAGTGGAGCCAGACTGGCTAGGCAATTGTGAAGAAAAAACAAGACCAGGCCTGTCAGATGTTCTGCCTGTTAAAAAACCCAAATAGCTCAAGTTCATTCAAAATAGATAGTGACTAATGGTAGGCCGATATTAGACCTGCATCTGATAAAACCACCCGTCTCTGGGTGATGTGCTCCAAGCTTCCTTCCTTGCTGACTTTATTTTTCCCTTGGAAGCTGTTCCCTGTGTTGCGGGGATGCTGTTCACCCGCCCACCTCCAGGTGGGCTCGCAATGTTGCAACTTGCAGCCCTTTGCACTCCTGGGCAAGAGAGACTGTGGCGAGACTATGAGGGATTAGAAGAACACCTGCCAGAAAAGTTCTCCTGCCCAGAAATCCAGGAGTTGCAGTCAAATGCACCCATGGGAATTCCTCTGGCCACAGACGCTCCCTGGCCTGGTGTTCGCGCATGGAGGAGAGGCAGCAAACTTCGCCCGGGCTGCATCTCTCCCTGCTGCTAGTGGAGACACCTCAGCCGACCCTCCAACAAGCGACCCTCCACAAAGGCGCATGGCAGGGCAAACCGCTGAGCTAGCGCCCGTCTCCCTGCCTCCGAGGTGTGTGCACAAGGGGGGCGTTCGGTCTGCCAGCCCCACCTGCGAGCAAGGATCAACTCCCCCTGGCAGCAAGCTCAGCTGTAGCCCTCCCCTTTCCCAGGGCACCGGTGCACGGGCCTTCCTGGTGGTGGCCCCTCCACTCCAAAGATTCTCCCTAACAAGCTGCAATTTTACCTGTGCCAGGTCAAGGCCTTCCTATTTCTAGAAGAAATTGCGGTTTTTTTTCTATCTCCTTTACAAAAACGGAGCATGAACTTGCAGCTCCACCTGCACCCTGCTCCCTGGCCGTGCTCCGCTCCTCAGCTGCTTGTTGCAGTCCATCAGCGTCTTCTCCTGTTCTCATCACACTGGCTTTCCATGTTTGCATTAATAGTCGCGTCCACAGAACACCCTCTGAACCCCGTCCCCGTTTTCTTTAGCACCCGTATGAAGTCACTGGGAGCCATCATCAGGTTTGGGGCTCATTGCCACGCCAGGCAGAGGACCGCCCGCCCCATTTCTCGGCAAGATCCAACCCAGGAGAGGCTCTGCACATCCTGAGCTGGTGCTGGATGCTTGGAAACGCAGAACCAGAGCGAGTCAGAAGGGGTCTCCGAAGCCATCAAGCCTGACCACCGGCTCCAGCCGGCTCCACTCATGCAATCCCAACAAGTGCTGCCC